AGGTTGAATATTTCAGACACCTAAGCCAATTACAAATCCTGATTACTCTGATTGCCAGAAATCCTGAAATGTATATATTATCCATTGATGTATTTTGTTTCTATATTAGACACTTGTGATTTAAACATGTTTAGTGGTTTGTGGTTCACAAGAAAGCTTACATTTCATTATTGTTTCCTGGATTGTAAGGATTTTGTTTCTGCTTCATAAAAATAAAATGAGAGCCAGCCAATCAATTGGCTGCAAGCAGAGTATAGAAGGCAGAAGGTTAGTTTCTAATTTATGTGTTAGTTTAAGATACAAAGCTGAGAGCGAAAACAAGTTACCTCCCATACACATTCATTGTGACCATTGAGGCATATATTTTTGGCATCACCTTCTAAATGTGGCATGTAGCTCCTCCAGTTGTTCAGAAACCAGGCTGCTGCCCAGGGCTTTGTAAGGCCAAGCGGTAAAAGCCTTATGTCAACGGAGTGATCTTAACATCTAAGGCCCGCCCTGTCCATTGAAATGCACCAAAGTGAAACTGTGCTCTTAAATTCTGCTTTATATTTTTTATGAGGCTCTAATCAACTGGATATATCAACTGTGTTACGGGCTGTCTGATGACATTTTGAGGTAGAAAAGTAAATTGCCTTTTTTATTGTACCCTTTGCCAGACATTTTCACACTCTGACTCAAGGCAAACCGTTCAGTTGAGGTAACTCTCTTCATTTATTACCAGAAAGCACACTGAGCAATATTTCTAACTCAGTCATAGTTTGGAATACTTCATAACCCCTCTTCCTCTCTACTCCCTAAAGAAGGAAAAATGGAACTTATGAGTGCTGAATCTGAAAATGATGGGAGTAGAAATAATATCGAACATCTTTCAGAAATCACTATTTTCACTGGTGACGTATTCCTTGAGCTTGTCTGGTGTTACTATTTGAACGGCAGGTCTTAGATTTAGTGAACTCATACACTCTGATGAGATTGTTTTTCTTTACCCTGTGATTGCTGGTAAGTAGGGTGCAGAACAGCACCTCAACCACATGTCCTTCTATATTTAGATTTATTTTTTGAGTTGGAGTCTCACATTGTTGTCCAGGCTGGAGAGCAGTGGCACGCTCATGGCCACCACAGCCTCAACCTGCTGGGCTCCGGCTATCCTTCCATCTCAGCCTCCCAAGTAGCTGGAACTGCAGGCATGTGCCATCATGCCCGGCTAATTTTTTGATTTACTGTAGAGATGAGGTCTCACCAAGTTGCCCAGGCTGGTCTTGAACCCGCAGGCTCAGGCAGTCCTCTCACCTTGGCCTCCCAAGTGCTGAGATTATACGCATGAGCCACTGTGCCCGGCTATATTTAGATTTTTAATGGATATTTGAGGTCTTCCACTTGATTTTGAGGTCTGGGTATCTCTGAGACAAAATGAGTTGTGGAGAAGATGTCTTGCCAGTAAGCTGTCCTGAGTATTTTATAACGTAATGAACCTTAGGTTGTGCTTTTGTGCAGGCAAGTTAGCACAGCGTGGCTGACAGTGCCGTCCTTAGAAGCGCCTGCCCACACTACTGGCTGGGGCTAGTGGCTGGGACCTTGGGTTTGGGCGGCGTCTCGCCACTCCTGGAACCCCTGATGGTGACTCACTTGGCCTAAACCCTTCTATGAATAGTGTGAGTATGCTAGGCACTGGCTCCTTCTGACAGTCTGGATATGGAAGCGTACCAAGGCACAGGGTCCCTAGTCACTGGCCCCCATTTGTAAAACCCTGGGGACTGAGTCTCCTGAGAGCTTCCCCAGCAGGTGGCATGTCACAAGTGTTGTGACAGTTTGTTGCTGGAAAAATCAGTGTGTCCCCTGAGACTTTCTCAGGTAAGGACTTTAGAAGTTTGCACCTGGCTTCCTCCAAGCTTCATCCCCTGAAGTGATGGTCCCTGCTGATTTGACTTTCTGTCCTTTTGCTGTAACGACTCTTACCATGAGTACAGACGATGTGCTGAGTCGGTAAGTTTTTTCCAATGAATGACTGAACCTGGAGGGGTTTCAGGGACCCCTGGAATGGCTTTTCTGTCCCCATTTGAGTTCAGTTCCCTGAGGTATATATGGCGTGTAATGATTAAACACATGGTCTCCATCAAGTTGAATGTTCACATATAGTAAGAAAAAGAAAGCAGAAAGCAACATCATTCCAATGACCCAGGGACACTCCACACCCTACTGTCTTTCAGCTCTGAGTTCCGAACTGTGTCTGTGCAGCCACTCCTCTGGCAGTGTGGTGATTTTATACTCTCAGGCCTCAGTCTTCTGGGATCTCTGTCATGGTGAATCTCTGAAGCTCTGATCTCTAACCAAGGCTTTCAGTCAATCTGTGTTTTAACGCTGGTTTCATTAAGTCACTGAGTTTACGAAGAGTGGACTACTTTGTCTAGATTTATCATGGCAAGATATTAAGAGACACAGACTTTGGACCCCAGATATGTGGGTTACATGCTTTACGAGTCTGTCTTTCCTCTGTTTCTTAAACTGATAGTTCATTTTCTCTTATGTAACAAAGCCTAGCTATTTATAAAATGTTACCCTTCTAAGTCTAGTTATTTTGGTGTAAATTCTCCTAAGCTAGTTTTAGAAAATCTTTTTAACCAGGGAATTAATATTTTTAATGTCTGCTTTCTACTTGCTGCTACTAACTCTAAGGTTTTAGATCTGATTGTTTTCTGAGATTTTATTAAAAAAAGAAAATGTCTAGATTTTGGTCATTACTAGTTTTGTTCTATCTAGTTTTCTCTCCCGTACAATTTTGACTTTTGTCTCTTTAATGAGTCATAAAATATGAAAGAAATTATTTTGAAAGCACTAGAAATTTGGTTAATTCCTATCAGTTTAATCTTTTGGTGATTGTATAAATATTTCTTATATTTTGTTAAACAGTAATTCCGTTGAAGAGTATTTCAAAGATCTAAAGAATAGAATTTAATATTTTTAATCCATTAGAACTTTTTACTGCTCTATTGTCTTTATTGTTTCTTTTCTGATTATCACAGGAATTTTTTGTTCATCTATGCCAAGATTCTGTCTGCTCACATAGTAATACTCAAATGTGTCTTTTTCTTTTAATATATTAAACAGAGTTTTATTGCCCCTTTTGGTCGAGAAGAGGACATATTAAATATTGTAGTCACAAAAATCAATAGGACTTTTATTACCTTTGCCTGTAATCAAATATATAGCACTGGGCAATGCTTTTTTTCTGGTGCTTAAATTCACATCGCCTACTTCTGTTTTTTTTTATTGATTTGCAATATTGTTGGCTCATTTATTTTCTTTTCTTAGAAAAACATGTATATCCTTTTCAAAAAAATGTTTACAAAAGATTATTGGTATGTAATTTTGTTCATGTCCTCTTTCTAAAATCCTTTGCTGACGTGGGGACAGCAGCACTCTGTACCTTCCTTTCAGTTTTGCTGTGAATCCAAAAACTTCCCTGGAGATATAAAGTTTATTAATTATAAGGAAACTCTTAAAAGTTTGGAAATAACGAGTTCTTATAAGATTGGCGATAGTAGGAGACTACCGGGGTGGGGGCGGGGGTGGGTGTTCAACATCAATCAGGGCACCTGATCTCAAACCAGGCAAAGTGGGGACCAAAGGGAGGCCCAGACTTTAGCTGTACGAAGACCACTTGTCTACCCAATCCTGAATTGTACCCCCCATCTTTTTTTTTCTTTAAGAATGGTCATTTTGATCTTGTACAGTTGTAAGATCCTTCCTTGTCTGGTTTGGTTTTATTAAACAAGATTTCCCCCCCAAGCCCTGATGAATGTGCATTAATAGAAACAAGCAAATTTGACCATCATTATCACCTAAACTAAAGCACATAGATCCTAGAGTGCTTGGATTTCTTTTTCGTTTTTACTCTCAGCAAGTTTTAAAAACTCAAAGTAACTTACTCAAAAGAGTTAATTACCAGCAGCCCTCATCTTTCCCCAAAGTTTGGATTTACGGTTCTGAAGTTGATTGTGATGAGTAAATCTTCACTTGTGTCAGATTGCTCTTTAATATATGGAAGGTTTTAAAAATATGTAAATTTGGACTGGGTTAAAGATTTGTGTATACTATTAAAGTTTTGTCATTAAACTAAATGAGGTATCAGAGTCTTAAAACCACAGTCATAATAAGACTGAGAACTCAAGCATAACTATATGACTAAAGAAAATACGAATTGGTAATGCCCTCTTTTCATTTGTCCGAAATAGACTTGTTTCGTGTGGTGTTTTTAATTGAGTTACACAGTTCTTTGTTTTCCTTCTGTTTTTATGGATGTAGGACTCTTTAACTTGTAAAACTTTCTACTTTATGAAATGTTTTTAGTAATTTTTTTAACCTCCACAGCAATAGTCTAGTAAATGTAGTATTGCTTACCATATGGTTGATTTTAAGTCTTTTTTTTCTCTTTTCTGTATTACTCTGAATCTTACCTGTTTAAAATTGTATCATGAGGAGGTATTTTAAGCAGTCATTGAGGGCACTCTTTCTACTGATAATGACAATGTATTTTCTGAAAGGAGAAAAAAAAATCACCTAATTATGGTTATATTATGTTAAAATCTTGACAAAAATTCAGAGATAAGTAACAACTTTGTGTGTGTGTGCTATTATGTGAAAATCACTGTTCTGGTTGCTGGGGAAACAGCACTGAACAAAACAAGGTTTCTGCTTTTGGGGTTAGGGTAAGCATTTTATTCCCCCTCAGTTTTTTTTAAGATATTAAGTGACTTTGTGACTAAAATAAATATATATATTTTTTCCTTTCCTAATACTTTTTTTTTCTGAATGAGTTTCGTCAAACAAGTCAGATATTTGTTAGTAGTTTTCTGGTTTTCATATGGTATATTTCTTGAACATCATGATTCTTGAGCTAGAGACTTACAATTTTAATTAATACTCTTAGCAAACCATGTATACCAGCTAAGGAAAACACTGTTTACATTATGCTTAAACACATTTCTCTACTGTTTTAGCTGGGAAGTGTTACGATTCCTTCTGTCAAACATCAGATGGTGGTTGGAAGAATATGGCTTTGATGGATTTCGTTTTGATGGTGTCACATCCATGCTGTACCATCACCATGGAATGGGTAGGTGACCTGACCTATCACAGGTATAACTGATGATCTTATTTATTTATTTTACTGGTGCATATCCATCAGGTTTAGAGTTCAGTTATGGAAACTGCAGTGATTGTTATTGGTAACTTGATTGTTTATATCTTTCTGTAATCATTTCTTTTCTCGGCAAGAGGTAGAGTATACATAAATTTTATAAGTAAACAAAAGATAATCATTTCCTTTTAAATATACCTACTTAACCATATGCTATCATTTATATGTAACTTGAAAATATTTGTGTTATTACAGCACCCTCAGGATGTGAACATGACAGCATCTCCAATGAAAATAAATAAAAAATACTAAGTGAGAACATTTGTGCAAACATGAATTTTTTACATATGATAGATTTATTCAGTTAAATTAGTTTGTAAATCATAAATTAAAGTATCAGTTAGACCTTCAGTTTAAAAGTGGGACAAAGGAGTGGAATCACAGAATACTAATCCCACAGTAGATAACATGGGATCGAGTGTTACTAGTTTTTCATGAGCTTTAGACTGAAAAGTGACTCCACAGGAAAGAAGCTAAACGTTCAAGGTGTGCCACTACTTACTCCTACATCATGAGATGCTGCCCATGAGATGTTAAAGGAAGGAAGTTGAATCTGCAAAACACAACAGGTTTCACTGTTATTCAAGTCTGGGTCTGGGGAGAAGCTGGTTAAGGGGATGCAAAGACATCACATGAAAGTCCAGAAAGGTGCTCTCCCAGGTTTAAATGCCACACATCCATGCAGAAACTCCCTCACTGTATTCAAGGGAACTGTGGTGTTGGGGAGGTAAACTGAAGCCTATGAAGATAGGAGGTGATTTTTATGGGTAGGAATCCCAAGAAATGATAAGGGAAAGCATTGTGTTACTTGGCATGTTTTTCTCCCTTGGACTGAAAAAAAAAAAAATCTGAAACTGCACAGTATCCCAGAAAACCTGAGATAAAACAATTAACATCCAGATGAAATGTTCAATTTAATCATTCAGCAATAAGGAGAAATTTATCAGGAGAGATCTAGGAAGAAAAAGCAATTTACTTGCATGGATGAAATAATGGGCTGGACTCCTACTCTTTTATTGCCAGAAGCAATGTCTGCAAAATTCTCAGGGAAATGAAGTATGATTCGAGAAACTGGCTGCTTGAGTGGTGGTTGCCGGGAACTGAGGGGTGGAGGAAAGGGGAAGCCGTTGGTCAGAGGGAACCATCTTTTAGTTCAAGTGAACCCTGAACATTCGCCGTGATACTCGAAGAAAGGGATCGGCAGTTGCTGGAAACTGCCAGGGGATGCGGGTGGCATATCAACAAAGGTACCTGATCTCAACCCACTCAAAGTGGAGACCAAAGGGAGACCCAAACTTTACCTGTACGATGACCACTTGTGTCCTGAAGTGGACCCCGCATCTTTAAAATTAAAAACTCTTAAAAAAAAAGAGAGAGAGAGAAAGCTCCGAGGATCTAGCGGACAGCATGGTAACTGCAGGTGGTACTATTATATTACTTACTTGGAATTCGATGAGAGCAGATTTTAAGTGTCCTCACCACCCACATGCTCACTCCTGCACAGACACACGGTAACTATGGGTGGTGATGAATGTGGTAATTGATCTGAGTGTAGTAAAGAGTGTTAGGGTCCGGACGGACAGGGTGAGGGTGGAGAGACGCAGGGAGGGGCGCAACACTGCCGGGGCTGGCGAGCCGGAGGTGCGCGCTGGCAACCCAGAGATCCGAGTAGACTGCAAAGAATTGCAACACACAGAGGTGACAGAAAAAAAGATTTATTTAAGAAAAGTTCACCCCCCACAGACAGGGAGGGCGGGTGTGGCATCGTAGCCCCCCCAGAGTCCTGACTTAAATTCTTTTCTTGGAGATGTTGCACGTGACTGCCGTGACTGCTGTGACTTCCTTGTTGACCACCTGTGGATGTCTTGGAGAACCTGTGACACAGAGACCCACTGATGTCCGCCCACATTATCACAGCCTCTAGAGAAGGGTGTGACAAGGATTCTAATGCTCCTGCACCCAAATGACATTTCTTAGAGCTAGTGGAGGGTACACCTCCCCTATCTCCTAGGTGTTCCCAGTGGGTAGCTTCGGGGGATCCTTGGCTTCCCTGCAGATAGGGCCCAATTTACTGGAAGATCAAATCCCCACCTGCTCTCCCTCTGAGCGGTCATAACTTTTGTAATGACAAGTTTCATGACTTTTACAGTCCTTGCCCAATGCATGATGTCTTAGCCCTTGTAAGTTCCCTTGACTCTCGGCAAGTTTGAGGGCCACTATGAGATACCTCTGATACCTGGAAGTCTGTTTCTGAAAAGGCAAAGTCGGTAAAGTTGATTATAGTGTGCATTTCTCCAAAAGCATAGCTTCTACTTTCTCATCATTGTGTCTGAGTTTAAGAACAAGATGAAAAGCCCGGCTCGGTGGCTCAGCCTGCAATCCTGCGCCTTTGGGAGGCTGAGGTGAGTGGATTGCCTGAACCCGCTGATTTGAGACCTGCCTGGGCAGTGAGACCTCATCTCTACCATCAATCAAAAAAATCAGCCGGGCGTGGTAGCGCATGCCTGTAATTCCGGCCACTCGGAAGGCTGAGGCAGAAGGATCGCCGGAGCCCAGCAGGTCGAGGCTGCGGTGGCCAGGAGCGGCCACTGCACTCCAGTCTGGACAACAGAGTGAGACTCCAACTCAAAAAAAAAAAAAGAGAGACAAAAAAAGAACAAGATGAAAAATGGCTTCCCACTCTCGGTCTGTACCCAATATCATATCATCACCTTTTATACCATAAAGATATACAATATGCAATTTTTAGTGTGTATCTATATCAAATCATCACCTCATATCATATCATCATCTTTTATACCATGAAAATATACAATTTACAACTTTTAGTGTGTATCTACATCAAATCATCACCTTGTACCCCTTGATGATATACAATTTTTATTTACCAATTCAATACTTAAAAATTTAAAAAAAGAGAACGACAAAATCAGCAGCAACAGCAAAAAAGAAACTTGGTAGTGGAATTGTCACTGATGCATCAACTTGAAAGAACATGAGGAATGAAACTTCTCTAATTATACTTGAAAAATGCCCCTCAGTGATAGAATCCAGCAAACTGGAAAAAAATAAAAGAAGCAAAATGGAAGAATGTACATCAAGGGAGATGGGGGCGGAGACTGGTGTTGAACACTCATTTGATTTTACTGCAAAAATAAGAGTGAATTACTGGAAGAATAAAAAGTGAATGGCATGGCCTCTGCAAGTATTGTGAAATATACCATAAGCAACTGGAATAATGGAAAGGGAGAGGCAGGAGGGAGTTTGAGGATGCCATAATCTCCTCGTCATGGGATCTCCATCTTGCATAAATTGAGGCACACACAACATCATATCTCAATTTACGATGGCTTTCATATTTACTTTTCTTTACCTCAGAGGGATCTGAGCTAAAAGGAACATCTAGATGTGGCAGAAAATACATTGAAAATTTGAAGTTCAGCCTCATCTCTACAATAAATAAAAAAAAATAGCCAGGCGTGGTAGCGCGCGCCTGTAGTTCCGGCTACTGGGAAGGTGGAGGCAGAAGGATCACCGGAGCCCGGCAGGCGGAGGCTGCGGTGACCGCGAGCGGCCACTGCACTCCAGTCTGGGCGACAGTGAGACTTCAACTCAAAAAAAAGAAAATTTGAAGTCAGAATTCCTTTTAGTATTATTTCACTTCTTTGAAGTGAAATTTAGTCATAATTTAATTAAATCTTCAAATTAAAGTGTTGTGTGTGTGTGTGTGTGTGCGCGCGCGCGCATTTGTGTTAAGCAAAAACTGATTCTAGGACTGTCTGAATTCTGAATGTTGACATAGAGTACATTTCTAAGTGTATTTGCCGATAGTAACATTATCATTACACCTTGCTGCAATTACAAAGTTCATGCAAACAGAGTAATGGGTGGGTGCATTCGTGCAGAGTTAAGACTTGCAAGTTAACATAATATATCCCTATTGATTTTCTGTGTTTTTCTAGGTCAAGGTTTTTCAGGTGATTACAGTGAATATTTTGGACTACAAGTAGATGAAGATGCCTTGACGTACCTTATGTTGGCAAATCATTTGGTTCACACGTTGTATCCAGATTCTATCACCATCGCTGAGGTAAAGCCATAATGATGTCTTACCCTCTGACTCCCCTTAATATAGAACATTTTGTTGGCATACAACATTGGAATAATTAATCTCATATTGACAGTAATTGCAAAATGAAACTGTACCCTGACAGGAGTGCAGCTCTCTTGTATGGGTGTCACATAATTTAGAATTCACTGTTTTCCTATTAGGGGATAATGTACACTAATTACTTGTCACCATTCCATTGTTAAAAAGAAAATGCCAGTGGTTAGAAAGTCAAATATCCTAATCAGTGGACAGGTCTTCCTGCCATGAGACCTTCAGCAACAGAGAAAAATTGAATATTAATGTGCGTCTGTCCATTTATTTGTTGTTTTTTTCTTTTCTGGTGCCCTCATTAGAGATGGCGTGGCTGGCTGACTGTGAGCTTTCTAAAACCTTTCTTGTCTTGATGCGATTACCTTTCTTGTTTATGGTGTTGCTCTCAGATTGCCAAATGTTCACTAGTTATTCATGATTAGTGAAGGTTCCTGATTGACTGTCCCAAAGCTGCACTGTGATGATATAATTCAGTATATACATAATTGACAATTCCCCTCGTGGTGATAAATGTGATAAATTAAGGAGTTTGTTAAATGCTTATGCTAATTTAGTTTTAGTACTAAAATCCTCCTGGCTTTCTGAGTTCTCTAACTAGAAATTATTATTAAAATTGAATTCAGCATGTTAAACACTGTCTAATACAAAATGTAGTGGTTGGCATATAAAAATAATAAGACTATTGTAAAAAAAAAAAAAAGAGTCCAAGTGAAGGTGTATTTTCACATTGTTGGTGCTTAGTTTATTGGAATGAAATATACCAAGTCCCCTTCCTATAGTATTGATTATTTGTATAGCCTTTTGTCTGTCATTTCTCAACATCAAAAACCTATATGTGGTATGATATCATTGTTTCTCTCTGTGAAGAGAAAAACAGTTTTATTTCCTTCAAGCCTTTTGCCCTCTGAATTTCTTCTGGAAATAGAGCAGTGACGTTACATTCCTAAATAAGTTCTTATGTAGAATTACAAAAACAAACGGAAACCCGGTCCTATAGTTGAGACACCCAATATTACTTCCTGCTATCTACCTGACCTATGTTTGATCATAGCACATAATTCTTGCTAATCCTTGCGCTCATATTTTTTGTGCTGAATGTCTTTTAACATCAGTCAGAATGCATTTTAAACCTGCTTTGTCTTTTATATATTTTAATTTTGTCTGTTGAGCTAAAAAAATTATTTTGTCAATTACATTTATGGCAGAGATATTACAAATGACAAATTACTATAAGCAATTAGTGACAGCCCAAATCAAAAGTGGGTACCGAAGGAAAGGAAGCCATTATTTAATACATGAAACTTAAAATTGTTACATTGATCTTTCCATTCGTTTCAAGTCAAATCATTTCATCATCTAGGGAGCTCTTGTCTGATTATCAGTGTTTCTACCAATGAAACGTGGAGACATGAGCCTACTTTATGTTCCTTGGTTTTAGATTTAAAAATGAAAAAAAAACCAAGATGTGTCTTCAATTTATTCTACTTAGATTGAAAACTGCTTCGATTTTAATTCATTACTTTTCTGTCTAGTGGTAGTCTCTTCAAATGGTGGAATTGATCCCCAGGAACTTTTTTTTTTTAAAGAAAATCTACGTGTTGTAATGAATAAGTAATATAATTTTGTGTAAATTTCTATAATGGAAGTATGAATTTATTTATGATGACAGTGATCAATATTGAAACATTATTTTGCTAAAATATATATATCCACCATTCTGTGTGATTATATTTGCTAATATTAATTAAAAACATTTTACTGAAGTTTTGTCCTCTTTGTAATCATTCTATGTATTCTCTAGATCTTAAATAATTAGGACTATCTTAATTTCATCCAAAACACATATGATCATTTCCACATGCTACACTGGCAGGCAGCAACTGTTTTATTTTTTAATTAAAAGAAAATTTTTACTTTTAAAGATATGGGATACAGTTCAGGGTTAGGTATACAAATGTTCATTATGCAGGTACCCTTGTGGATGAGGTGTGCCCCCTCCTCCCTGGCAGCTTCCCACTACTGCCAATCCCACCCCTCTTCCCTGGCAGTTTTCCCACCACTGCCAATCCTTTTCTTATACTTTTATGATAATTGTTCAAGGTCTGCTTATGAGTGAGACATGTAGTATTCAGTTCTTTGTTTCTGTGATAGATCACTGAGTGTTATAGACTAAAAGTCCATCCAGGTGACTGCAAAGTTCATAATTTTATCCTTTATGGCTGTGTAGTATTCCACCTTGTATACGTACCACATTTTTTTGATCCAGTTCTCTTTTGATGGGCAGCAAGGTTGGTTCTATGTTCTTGCTATTGTGACTAGTGATACAATAAACATGCATGTGCAGGTGTCTTTTTCATAGCGTGATTTAAGTTCCTCTGGGTGGACTTCCAGTAGGGGATTGTGGGGTTGTATGGAAGGTCGATTTTTAGGTCTTTTAGGGTTTGATGTTGAACACATATTTAACCAATTCTTATCATGGATGACAGAATGCCTACCATATCTGTGGACATGTGAATTACATTTGGATAAATGTGACTTTCAAAATGGCTTCTTTTCTGTTGGCCATCTTTTTTCCATTTTATAAACTATACATAGCTATGCGGAAATAAGATATTTTCTTTTCTTATGTATCCCAACATGTACTGTATTTACTTGTATCTTTCTTCTATAAGAAAACATTAAATTGTTTTTGGAGTGTAGACAGGTCATGCACTTCTTTTTTCCAGCTTTCCTATGGGAAGAGTTTGGTGATTGTATTGCAGAAGCAGCAGCTTTTGAGTTAGGTCTCAGAGAGCTTATCGTATGTGACAGTCTGATAAGAAGTGAGGATGATGATCCAGGGAGGACTTGGGGAGGTGACACATGTAGAAAAGCTTGTGACAGGCACAGGGAAGAGTAAATATTTAAAAGTGGCTAATGTATTTAGCACATGAAATGAAATAGTAGGAAATGGTGATGGAGAGATGTCTCTCCAGTTCACTTTCTGTGCACTTCAGTTTATGAGCACAACTACACTGCGTCGTTGCTTTATGATAATAAGTGTGTGCATGTCTATTTAGGTCCTAGTTTATGAATCTCCCCAAATCGGACATCTTATTTGCACTGAAGCCCTTAGAGCAGATCTCTCGTGCCCTCAGCAGATGTGCTCTGAGGCCCTGCTCTGTGCCAAGTTCTCTTCTACTGTTGTAGAGACTTGCGGCCTATCAGTAAACAACAAAAATGACGTGTCTCTCTCCTCACAAGTCTTACGTTCTAACCAGGAGTGGGGGAGCAGCGAGTTGAATCACAAGTCATGTAGGAAGTGCTTACCATGTAACCGTGGAATGGAATCCTAAGCTAAGGAGTTTGACTTTGGTCTTTGGCTTGGAAACCCATTGAAGGGCAGTGGTAGGAGCGGACTGTCTCGTAAGGTACCGATTTGGCGGGGTTCGTTGGAAGAGAACCTGGAGATGGGAATTCCATCGGAGGATGTAAGGTGGAGGCCAGCAGGGATGAAGATAGGTGAGACTGTGACTGTGGACATGGGCAGAGGAAGAGCATGTCTTCTTCTTTTTTTTTGAGTCGGGGTCTCACTCTGTCGCCCAGACTGGAGTGCAGTGGCCACTCCCGGCCACCGCAGCCTCGACCCGTTGGGCTCCGGCGATCCTTCCGCCTCAGCCTTCGAGTAGCTGGAATTACAGGCACGCGCTACCACGCCCGGCTGATTTTTTCATTTATTGTAGAGATGAGGTCTCGCTGCCCAGGCGGGTCTCAAACCCACGGGCTCAGGCCATCCACTCCCCTCAGCCGCCCAAAGGCGCGGGATGACAGGCTGAGCCACCGAGCCCAGCTAAGAGCATGTCTTTAAAGGACAGCGTGGGGTTGGAGTCGGTAGTACTTGGCTCATGTTTTGCTGTAATTGTTTTAATCCTATCTTTTGTTCCCTATGGGTCCTTGTACCAGTTTTCAAATCCACTTGTCTGTTGTATTAATTGTATTTATCTGATGATTTATTTGATTACTAATAGTCTAGTGTTGACATGTCAGAGTGGAAACACACTATCAAAGGACTTGCTTCTTGAGTCGTGGTGCTCCCATCAAGAAACCTTTATCTTTAGAGATCCCATCACCTCAGTAAGCCAGTGAAGAGGACCACTCACTAGTCTTGAAGACCCCTTCCAAATGTCCCCTATCATGGTGAAAGTCATCTCACAGCTTGCTTCACTTTAGTGTACTAGGTCTGCACTCCATTTCATCAAAAGTGATAGACTTCATTTCAGGGATACAGATACATACAACAGAGATATGTCACGTGTATTTTTGTGTTTGGTGAAAGCAGTAACTAATAAAAAGTGTTTTACACTCATTCAAAAATAAGTTTAAGAAACTATGTTTTAGTAATAATGGTGTTACTTGTTTGTATTCTCTAGAAGATGCTAAGGAAAAGAAAAAAAAATAGCCTCCTGAGATTAAATTTGCCTGGAGTCAAAACATTATACAGAATTCTTACAAAGAAATGACATATTATCACAATTTTATCAACTTTTACAATTATAATACCAGAATACCCCAAATGTGTATGTCCCTATTACTGTTGTCATCAATTGGCCTGGACTTTACTGTCAGGATATTTACTAAAAGGTGGGTCAATATGAACTGACCACATGCTGGTGCTTCGTTTTAGGATGTGTCAGGAATGCCTGCTCTCTGCTCTCCAATCTCCCAAGGAGGCGTTGGTTTTGACTATCGACTGGCCATGGCGATTCCAGATAAATGGATCCAGGTAAGACTTCACGTGAACAGCTTTTGTTTCTGCTAGTACTGTGTTACTTCCTTTGTCTTCAATTTACTGCGTGGTTGTGATCGCTAGCTACAGGTAATTGAAGTAACGCATTCTTCCTTACATGTGGCGATTCTTAAGCTTTTTAATAAGGTGCTTCTCAAAATGTTAAAACTTCTAATTTAAAGTATTCACATTTATATTATTCAGACAAGGGGAAAATATGAGTAATATAATGTTAGCTGTATAAATGGGATTTTGCATTATCAAAGCAATTATGTGAAACGTCAGTGCTCTATATTTAATGCACATTAAACTTCATTAGAGCATTCATTTCTGTCTATAAATCACACATGAATGTAAAAGTTATTCCTTAATTTCCAACACTTGCTGAATAGTATGGTCTTTCCCCAACAAATAGGAATTCATCCGTTTCTTTATTCAGTGTTTAAAACTCCTCATCCTGTGTCAGGCTCAAGAATGAAAATTATACATGCATATCACTTCTCAAAATAACTTTATTAAGTTTAATGACAGTTCAAGTAGTTTGGATTTCTTTTTTTCATTTAGTGTTTGCCTAAGGAATTAAAACCATTGTAGAGACTTAGGTTTTATAGAGAACGTTTCTGGATGGCCATGTCTGTAATCATAGCTGAATATGTGTAGCAGTCGGAAATGTATACACATAATTGTAACTTTCCTGTGAGCCTTTTAGTGCAGGCATGAGCCAGCCCCATTAGGCTGCAGTGGTAGAAATGCTCAACTTTGTGTAGAAAAACTGTAGCGCTTGCTCTGAAGGAAGTGGCTATTGTCATCACCTCTTAATGGTCTTGCCCAGGCAATTTGCCCAGGGTACAGCTGTGACATTATACCTCTCCTCACGTGACTCCTGCTCCTCCATTTATAATAATTCCCTAACCATTATCAGGCCCTACAGCAGGTGTTTTATAAAGACTGTTAGACTTAGAAGTCAAATAAACAAGAAAACAAGTGTTCTAGCTTTAATACAAATATACTTAATAATATATTTGTTATTTTATGCAAAATGCTTTATCTTCAGGTTTCTTATCTTGTTATAAGGTATTAGCTCCCATCTCTTACTATTTCTCATCTTTCACATAGGTTTATTTTCCTTACGAAATTGCCAAATCTTACTTAACCTTGTGTTGAAAACCCATGGCCAATTTTTTGTGTGCAGTTTCAAGAATATTTTAAGGTGTAAATCAGTCTAGAACTATTTCCCAGTCAGTTATATCCCACAGTGAGAAGTACCCTTCTCTGACTATTCATGGAAATTAAAAAAAATTAAATTTAACTTAATAAACATTTTGCTCAAGGGACTGTACTAGGCTGTGTACCACACAAATGAGAAAAAGTTTAGCATATGACCACCTGTCTTAGATTGTAAATTTTTGAAAGCTTTTTTTCTAGTTATTTTATAATTTTTTTGTATCATCAAAGTAGGAACCTTAATAAAACTAGAGAGTTAAAATAATACTACGAAAAAAACCCCTCAAAAATAATGAATTTCCTTCACTTTTGTAAGTTATAATTTTTTAAATAATAAATGACTATAATTCCCCCAGATGACAAGAAAACACAGAGGAGTATTAAATCAAACAACAACTATGCTTAACATGTATGAGGCATACATGGTTGTCTACCCATAGGGTATGAGTTAGCTTGGAATACTAAATTTTTTTCATGTTCTTATTGTTCAAATCAAATTATGTACCATTTTTTATTTGTATTAATTCAAAATCAGTAGTTTGGAATATCATAGTTAATCACAAGTATTTGAACAAATATTTAACTATTTAAAATATGCCAAATTTGCTATACCTTTTTTCATTTTATCTGATCGTTTTTGAATAACTGACATGTTTGTGTAACGGTAATATAGTATTTCATGAAGGCATTCACTTATTCCACCAAATGTCTTTTATTTAAGCACCTAGTATTTTTTGTTATCTTTAAATAGTTTTCTTTTTCTTTCTTTCGTTCGTTCTTTTCTTTTTTTTTCTTTTGAGTTGGAGTCTCACTCTGTGACCCAGGCTGGAGACTGGAGGGCAGTGGCACACTCCCAACTACCACAGCCTCCACCTGCTGGGCTCAGTCGATCCTTCTGCCTCAGCCTTCCAAGTAGCTAGAACTATAGGCACGTGCCACCATGCCCAGCTAATTTTTTTTTTTGATTTATTGTAGTAATGAGGTCTCGCCAAGTTGCCCAAGCTGGTCTCGAACCTGTGGCCTCAGGCAATCCTCTCACCTTGGACTCCCAAAGTGCTGGGATTATCAGCGTGAGCCACCGCACCCAGCAAATAGTTTTTTAATTCACTTTTTTATGTTGAGATAACTGTAGACTCACATGCAGTTGTAAGAAATAATACAGTGAGATCTGGTATATTCTATAATCAGTTTTCCCCAGTGGTAACGTCTTGTAAAGCCAGAGTTCAGTATTGCTGCCAGAATACTGACATTGAGATACTCAAGGTACTTTCATCACCTCAGGGTAACCTCATGTTGCCTTTTATAATCATGCCTATTTAATTCCCTCTTACTACTAATCACCCCCTAATCCCCAGCAACCACAGATGCGATCTTCATTCCTATAATACTGTCATTTCAAAAATATTATATAAATGGAGTCATGCAGTATGGACCTTTCTGGACTGGCGTTTTCACTTACCAAAATTTTCTGAAGGTCCATGCAGGATGTTGTAGTATCAGCAGTGCATTCCTTTTCATTGCTGGACAGAATTCCATGGTAGGGGTAGACCACTGTTTGTTTAACTCTTCACCCACTGAGAAACATCCAGGTTGTTTTCAGGTTGTGACTATTATTAATAACACTGCTGTAAACATCTGTGTACAGGGGTGTGTGTGTGTGTGTGCATGTGTGTGTGTGTAGTGATATCTCATTGTGGTTTTAATTTTTTTTCTCAATGGCATGTGATACTGAATATCTTTTCATGTACATATTTGCCTTCTGTGTCTCCTCTTTGTTGGAGTGTCTGTTCATGTCTTTTGACCATTTTTGGATTGGATTGTTTGTTTGCTGCAGCATTTTGAGAGATTCTCTACGTATTCTAGATCCAGCTCCTGTGTTGGATATAAGGTTGACAGATATTCCTCCCAGTCTGACACTCATTCTTTCAACTTCCTCACATTGGTTTTCACAGAACAAAAGTTTCTTTAAAAAAAAAAATCATGAAGGCCAATTTATCATTTTTTCTTTGTTTCTCTTTGTCGGCATCAAGTTTAAGAATTCTTTGAGCCGGGCTCGGTGGCTCAGCCTGTCATCCCACGCCTTTGGAAGGCTGAGGGTGAGTGGATTGCCTAAGCCCACGGGTTCGAGACCCGCCTGGGCAGGTGAGACCTCATCTCTACAATCAATCAAAAAACCAGCCGGGCATGGTAGCGCACACCTGTAATTCCGGCTACTCGGAAGGCTGAGGCGGAAGGATCGCCGGAGCCCAGCAGGTCGAGGCTGCGGTGGCCGGGAGCGGCCACTGCACTCTAGTCTGGGCGACAGAGTGAGACTCCAACTCAAAAAAAAAAAAAAAAGAATTCTTTGACTCTCATATGTTTTCTAGTAAATGTTTCATAGTTTTATTGTTTATATTTAATTTTATGATTCATTTTGAGTTGCTTTTTGTGCAGGATGTACAATTTAGCTCAAGGTTCTTTATCTTTTCTTTTTGTCTATGAATGTCCAGTTTTTCTGGTGTCACTTACTGAAAAGTCTGCCCTCCTTCCACTGAATTTTTCAGTATTTCTGTCAAAACTTAGTCAGGCATATTTGTGTAGGTATGTACGTTAGTTCCCTGTTGTTGCCATATCTAATTACGACAAATTTAGTGGCTTAAAGATCATGCATTTGCTATGTTACAGTTCTTTACATCACAAAAATGAAAAAGATCTTACTAGGCTAAAATCAAGGTGTTGACAGGATTGCATTCTGTCTGAAGGATCTCGGGGATAAACTTTTTTCATGCCCTTTCTAGCTTCTAAAAGCCACCCACATCCCATATCTCGTGGCTCTTCCCTCCATCTTCAAATGGAGCATCTTCAGATGTCTCTTTACTCCGACACTCATGTCTCCTTTTTAGAGAGATTCTTGTAATTACCGTGGGCCCATCCACATGATCCAGGATCATATTCCCATCTGGATGTCCATAACTTAATTACATCTCTAAAGTTCTTTTTGCCATATAAGGCAACATCTTCACAGATTCTGGGCATTCAGGATGTGAACGGCTAGGGGTGGTTGTTATGTACCTGCCACACTCTGCCCTCTGGTGGCCAGTGAGTCACACTGTGGTTTTGCAGACCAGCTACCTCTGAATTCCATGGTACAGTCAGTCAGCAAAGGAAGACTCAAGTGATCTGGAACCCCACCTCTGGTACCAAAACTGGCATTAGTTTTCCATCGCTATGCAGCAAATTACCACAACTGTAGAAGATCAAAACATTACCCAGTTATTATTTCACAGTGTCTTCAGAGGACATCCATCCTATTCAGAGATCCCACCCACACTCAAGGCAAGGGAGTTATGCAAATATCCACTAATGGGAATCCTGGGGCAGTCGTAGAATTCTGCCAGTTACAGCATGGAATTGACACTTTGGATGGAGAAAAGAACCCCTGCAGAAAGAGTGTGTTGAATAAAAGAGAGGCCATGTTTAGACATAACCCTGAGGAACATCAGCTTTTATAGCATAGACAGAGGAAAGTATAGCATATGCGCAGTAGTAGAAAAAAACAAGACAAAATAAAACAAGAGCTGCACAGTCACAGACTAAGAAAGGGAGAGGTCATGGGAAGGAAAGAGGGTCTGTAGCATCCACAAGTACCGCAAGTATTTACCTAAAACAATGATTACTGACCTACAAGAGAACTGTCCTAGACCCTGACTGGGTCAGTTGCATGAGAGTAGTGTGAGAGGGACAGCCAGATAGAAGATAGAAATAAAATAGAATGGAGGACAGAGTGATCTGCTAAGGTGGTAATTATTTTTTGATAACTAGCCTTTAAACTATGAAATAAATGTTGTTTTAATGATCATGTTTTAAAGAGTGGAGAACATACGCTTCCTCCTAAAATTTTTTTTTATTCAAACCTGAAAAATGTAGCAAGTATATCTCTACCTTGTATGAGGTACAGAAAGACATATTGAGCATTAATCAAGAGAGCAGTTATGACAGGGGAAAAAAAGGGTACAAAGATTTAAAAACGTAATGGTGAAACTATCTGCACAAAAGCAAACAGACACACACACATACACACTACATCACTGTCATTTGGATACTCTGTATAAACGCAGTGATTTCGGTAAAAGTTTAAACAACGATACCTTAGAAATGTGGGGTAGGCTTATATCTGAATGTCAAAGACTGACATTCATTGGACTGACAGGATGCATACTTTCAGGTTGGGGTTTAAAGTTAAAAAAGCAGCGGTTTACTCACAAACTTATTTTTTTCTCTTGCATCTAGCTACTTAAAGAGTTTAAAGATGAAGACTGGAACGTGGGCAACATAGTATATACCCTCACAAACAGACGCCACCTGGAGAAGTGCATTGCTTATGCTGAGAGCCATGACCAGGTAACTGAATTTGTATATAAATTCATTCGCCCATACTCGATAACATATTTTGCTAACATTATACAGTTTAATACAGTAAATAAAACATTTATATATATATATATGTGTGTGTGTATATACTTATGTGAAAACTACACATACTTGAAAAACATTATTTTGTAGAGTCCGAAATTCCAGCTTCAAAAAGCAGCGCTATGCTTCCCCCGCCAAACCGTGATTAGTGGATTGTATATTGTAGTTACAGAGGTTAGATATGTGTTCCTTTGTATCGGTGCTGACCCAGGGTTGTTTTAATGTCCATTTTAGGGTCCCTTCTAGAGATTTTCTTTCATGCCTTTGACCAGCCTTTGTCATTTGTTTCCCCTCAGTCACTGAAATCTCCTGTTCACTGATCACCCTGATCTGGTTCTTCCCAGAGCCAGTCTGTCTGCTCCAATTCTGCTTGTGGTATTTTCCGAAGATCCCGTCTCATCTCTTCACCCCAGATCTGTTGGCTGAAGCCTGTCGTTCTAGGCCAGCCATATCCTGGCCCAAGCCAACGTTTCCCTCTCCCTTCCCTGCCCACTCGAAATCCCCCCATAACTGAGAGGTCAGCTCTTCCCAGTCTTGTGCTTCTCCCCGTGTATCTGCTTCTGCCTCCTGCGTTTGGGAAGTCCCTCTTTGACCTAACCACCTGGGCCAGATGTCCCAGTCTCCATGAAGCCTTCCCCGAGTCGCGAATTGCATGGGGACCAACAGTTGCCCTATCCGTCATGTTTTAAGGAGAAATTTGTTTTTGTTACCCTTTGTATTTCCAGCCTTCAGCACCACTGATGATCCCAGTAATCACTCAATAAACATAAAAAAAAGGGAAAAAACGACCACTTAGCTATTTAAAGTCATATTCATCCTCATAAACATCAATGTAAAAATTACTTTTATAGATTAAAAATGAGACAGTAATGTTTTTGAGATCTTTGAAAGTATCTGTATTATGATAATGGAAACTAAAATAATAAGTTTATCTGTCTTTTCAGCAGAAATTGGCCATTTAATGCAAACGGTTAAGAAAAGTGTAAGTAGACCAGGGACTGACTGACTAAAGCCTGCGGGCCAAATCCTACATGCTACCTGTTTTTGTTAATAAAGTTAGTTGGAACACAGCCATGCTTACTCATTTACATGTTGTCTATGTGCCATAATCGTAGGTTTGAGTAGTTGAGACAGAGAAAATGGCCCACATTTACAGAAATTTGCTGACCCCTGAAGTAGACAGTTTACTTTTTTATCAACTTAAATTGACAGGATCCTTGACAATAGAGCAGATCAAATAAATACCTATATAAAAAAACCAACCCAATCTACAAAAGAGTATCACTTTAAAAAGTGATGGTCAGGGGGTAGTAGGGAAGGGGGAATATCTTACTATCGCTTGTGCACATGCATGGTGTCTGTCTCTGTCTCTCTCTCTCTCTCTCTCCCCCCCATATATATATAAATAATACAACACGAAAATTAAAATACATGCATAAAGTATATTGTTCTATAGCAAACCACTAGGAATTATAGCACGTGGTGAATTCCTAGCATATGTTCGCTTTGGATAAAAGAATAAAAGACTGAATAACTAAGTGAAATAAACAAATTGAAGACAAAACTGGGAGATGTCTTTTATAACTTCCTGCCCAATCTGTAAAGAAGCGTAAATTTACCAAGAATTATCTCAAATTCCAAAGATCCAGGTAATTCTACTTCATACTGTCAGGAATCGTCAGAAATGCAGAAGTAATGCAGACCAACTAATTATTTCTGAAGGCAAATGTACCTTGATTCTTAAGCTTGATAAAAAACTATAAATACACATATTTATGAAAAGAATAATAATTAGAAGTATATACATTATAGTAAAAAAATTGTGAATGCTATTTTAAGTTGTCTAAATGAATTCTTAGCAATTAAATTTGTAAAATACACTGAATTTTCCAAATATCTCAATAGGATTTCAGAAGGCAACTTGATGATAAAGAATAAACTTTATCTGTGCACCTAAGCAAAAGTTATCAAAATAATTTTATAGTGGGATCACAGATGGTGGAAATACACAGCTATACATAGAAACAAATTCAAGCAATTAAAAACCAATAGGAAAGACTAAAAGCTGCCCTTTTATTGTTTAAGAATTAGTGTTGCAGATCTCTTTATAACAGTTATTTAAAGAAAAGTTATTTTAACTAAAGTAGGTTAGAGATGGAATAGATATGTAAGCCAATTTTTTTTCTAAAAAATGAAAAGAATTGTAATGGGGTCCTGGATTATGAGTTAATTTCTATTATCCATTTCATTTTGCATTAGTCAGATGTTTTTGACCATGAATAGTTCAGATTATTAGGAGGTCTCTCTTCTGCTACTCAGGACACTTCTCAATTATCAGTTATTCTCCTTTCAGATAAAGCAAGCTACATTTAGATAAAATGGAAAATAAAATGAGAAAGCAAATTTACATTGAAATAAGTGTTCTCAACCTAATTTCTCTGCTGAGGGGAAGGAGGGATCATTATAATATATTTATGCACATACTATATTATCTTGTATATATTTTCTGAAAAATCATAATGTATGTACACACATATATTCTCATTGGTATATATGTAATACATGTATGTATATAGATCAATGATTTTCAGATTCCCTCTCGTGTTTAAAGCAAATGAAATCATGGTATATATATATTTTAAAACTTGATATAATAATGTCACCATTATAATAAATGTTTCAGAAAATTTGAAGTATCAGCTCAGGTATGACAGATATCCACATTCCTTATTGTAAGCTTTTTACCAAGCTCTTTTACAAATAAAAATCCATCCTGAAGACAAATGTGTTGCTCTCTAAGGAACTCTACCAGCTCACCCTTAGCACAGAAGGTAAGCATGGAAAACACCTGAAATTAACAGGAATCCACACACCTCGTCTCCATGGTTTCGCGTCCTGGGGAACAGGTGATAGTCTGGTGTAAACCACAGCTGCCTGGCACTCATTTTTTGCCGTTTATTCCTGTTAACTTTTATTCCTGTAGGCTCTGGTTGGTGACAAGACGCTGGCGTTTTGGTTGATGGATGCCGAAATGTACACACACATGAGCGTCCTGACTCCCTTTACGCCAGTGATCGATCGCGGGATCCAGCTCCATAAAATGATTCGACTCATCACGCACGCGTTGGGTGGAGAAGGCTACCTCAACTTCATGGGTAAGTGGGAGTTCCGCCTGTGCCCGGTCTGTGTTTAAGACGTTAGCCTGTGTGTGACATAAATTACAGAGAGTCTTTCCATTTGGCTTTTGAGATGTAGACTATAAAATGGCAACCTTGTTTCTTTAATATACTTCCATGTGTAAATTGCAAAAATAAAATTAAAGCACTATACATTTATTGTTATACTAAGTATATGACATAAAAGTACAGTCTTAAAGTTGGTACGTTATTGAATGTCACTATCAGCAAGTGGGCTTCATCAGTCTTAAAACCCAGAATTACTATTTAAATGTAATCATTCTGAGTTTATTTTTGTAGTGTTTGCACCTTGACTATAAGAAAGATGTAATTGTCGTATCATAACATTTTAAGCTAGTTTACTGATCTTTTTTGAGATCATTGCAATTAGTATACTTATAAATTGAAAGCTTATTCCCAGGGATATGGTGATAGGCAAAAAAAATAAAAAATAAAAATTAAGTAGAAAAAAATGCAAATATTCAACGCTGTCTGAAGTCTCTTGAATGATAGAGAAATCGACTATTTTACTTGGCAAACAGCGAACATTTGAACATTAGGGTTTTAGATTTCACCAGCATTTAGGCCAAAGAGTGACAGAAAGACTGGAGAATAAACACAAGAGACTGGTTTATTTTTGTACAATAAAAGCCTTAGAGCTTTGAGTTAATTCTTTTCTATCTGGAAGTTTTATTGAACAAAAAAAACAAAACTTAGATTCAAAAGCCTTTATTGTTTACTGACTTGAGGTAGAAAGCCAAGGCCAGGGAAGCGTATGCCGAATCTCACCTGCACTCCCTATGCCTTTGGGTATATGCCTCTCCTCACAGGGTCACTGAAATTTGTTAACCTTTCTAGCCTGCCAGGCGGTGACTTACCTGACCCGTGAGGCTGTTAATGTCAGTCAGGCACCAGGTCAAGTTTCCTGGTTGGACTGTGTAAGCATTGGTTCCATAAGTAAAGTTGACCTTAGTTCCTTAAAAGTGCCTGGCCCTACCTGACTCAGTAAGCATTGTTCTCCAATATGACAGTCCCAGTGAGGCCTTGGTTGCACAGCCAATTTTTAACTATATCCTGATGAGTAGATGGAGCCCGTGAACCTATGCAGATAACCATTCTGTCATGTAAAGTAAGGAGGATGGGGGTTTGGTGAGATAGTTAAGGTTTTATTTTGCTTACAGAAGGACAGTTTATTAAATTTTTGTAGTCTATAGAAAGGACTTCCTTATAGATCTGAAAACAAAAACAACGTTTCAAAGAACAGAAATAAAATAGACATCTGTATTCCTGCTGTCATCCTAACTCATTAATTCTTGAAGCCCGCTGCAATCTGAGACTATAGAAATCCTGATTCAGTCCACGGCTGTAGTCTGGAAGTTGTGTAAGTGACATCAACTCCAACGCCTTTGTCAAACAGTCTAGCGTCTGTTAGGAAGTACCTGATCGAGTCCTTCTCTTGAGACTGTTCTTTTTTGGATGTCTACCCGGGCCTGTGATACATAGCAAACCTCCAGGCAGGCCTCAGAGTAAAACCAAACTGCATGCTTGTGACAGAGACTTAGTGACCATGGTTAATTCTAAAGCTGATACATTTCAAACAAGAAAAGTTTGACAACAATTCATAATGTGGACTACGATAAAATAATGTTCTGGGAACTAGGGCAATAACAAATCTCCAGAAACTTATGGTTCCTTCTTACTGTGGGAGCTTTTCTGTCCTCTCAATAAATCCTACTTTAAAAAAAAAAACAACTTTCTGGAATGTTTATATTCATATCATTTTATCTGTCCATATTCAACCCAGGTCAGGTGAGTGTCTATTCTGTATTGAAGACTCTTCTCATGGAACTTTCAGTAGTAACAAAATAAGCAAGCATCTTTATTTCTACTAGCCATCTTTCTATGTCTGTACATTGGCCATATTTGAGATGTCAAATATGATTTTAAGATTCATCTCTGGTATAGGACTGAGAGATCTTTTGTGTTCTTATTTGTTTGTCCTTGAAACAAATGGCTTTTAATATGTAACTCCAATATAGCACCCACTCTTTAAAGTTTTTTTAGTTCAATATCATATATAAATCCAGCACGTCTCTGCTAACTTTAAAATCAGTAATCTCCTAAGGACTCTATAA